CTCGCGTATAAGAAATCGTGAGGCACTGCGCTGTCAAGACACTTGAAGATACATCGAATGAAAGTCGCACGCACCACGGAGGCTTAACCCCGAAAGTCCGTCGGCAGCGTCAGATGTGTAGAAGACACAGCAATCCCGCCGGTCCCAGCCGGGGCGCTCACCCTCATGGCCAGCAAACCCTCCGCATCAAACGACCAGTCCACGTGGATCGCGCCCCGCGGGACGGGATGCCGTCCGCGCGCCCACCGCAGACCAAGGGTAAGCGGGCGGACCGTCCAGCGCGCGAAGCCGGGCGCCGCGGCCCGGATACCGAGGACGTGACGACTCAGCTCGGCCGTGGGGGCCGCGCCCCAGGCGTGGCAGAGCGAGGTCGCGGCGCCGAGGCCGGGCCGGCCGGTGGGGTCCAGCGTCTCCCAGGTGCAGCCGGTGTAGTTTGCGTGGGCGGGGTCGCTCATGGGGCCCCAGAGGGTGTGCAGGAGGTGGGTGGCGGTGGCGGCGTCGTGCGCGTGGAACGCCGCCTGGAGATGGTACCCCGAGGCGTAGGGGCTGATCTTCTGTGCCCAGCCGCTTGCGGCGCTGCCGGGGGAGAAGGCGAGGGCTCCGGCGGGGACGTATAGGCGAGCCATGCTGGAGAGGAGGGTCCGTGCCGAGGGTGTTCCGGTTGGGGGGACGGTGTCGGTGAGGATGGCGAGCGCGTTGGCTTCCTGGGAGAAGAAGGCTGGGTGGGAGTCGGCGAGGTAGAAGGCGTGGAGCTGGTCGCTCCAGAGGTTGGCGCGGATGGATTCTTGCAGGGAATGGAGCCGGTGTGCGTATGTGGTGTTGTCCAAGCCTCCGTCGGCCAGGTAGGGCAGCCACTGCTTCAGCGCGTAAACGTAAATCAAATTGAACTTGGAGATAGCTCCGCTCAGGGGAGGATCGTAGTAGTTCCAGTCGCCGCCCAGGGCCACGTCGGAGATGTTGAATAGCCCGCTGGGGAGGGTCTGGGAGTGTGCCCAGTCGAACAGCCGGGCGACTCTGGGGGCCCAGTGCTTCAGAAACGCATCATCACCGGTCTGCTCGTAGTACTGAGCCATGGCACTGGCCAGGCTGAAGGAGTACCCGATCAGGCCCGTGAGGTTCCCTGGGATGGCCTCGGTCCGCGGCTCCTGCTGAACCTTGGCGTTGGGCACAAAGAAACCAGGCAGCATCTGCATGGAGCCCAGGAGTGCAATCGACCCGTTGATGTACTCTGTTCCGTTGGTGCTGGCAAATGCGGCGCCGGCCGTGATGTCCAGGTCTCCCGCGTAGGCGATGCGATCTCGACGGGAGCCATCAACGCTGACCGGCAGTGGATTCGTGCCGAGCAGGAAGTCCTTGAGGGCGGACTTGTCAGACAGTGACGACGCGTACATTTGCGCACCAAATGCCGTCAGCGAGACATTGGTGAAGACGGCGGTGTGGCCCAAGGATGCACCGAGCCCGAATGAGCCGTAGAATGCGGACGTCTGCGAAAAGTCAAGCAGAGCGACTCCGTCGATCTCGACTGAAACCTGAGTCACATTGACAGCGGCCCGGACTCTATGCCATCTATTGAGGGTAATCGACGGCGGCAGAGCAGCCGAAGTCAGTGGAGTCCCCAGCTCTGATGACCCTGCGTGCGCAGAGATTGCTGCGTTGGCAACGTCAACAAAGGTGTAGACGCCATTGCCGAGGGTGTCGCTCAGCACCGTAAAGCCAAAGCCGTTCGCGATCGGCTTCACGGCGAAGTCGACCTCGTAAGCCGTCATCGTCGCGGCATAGTCCGCTGCAAACGGTTGAGGCGCGAGGCTCTCGACGAGGGCGCCTTCATCGGTAATGGTCCAGAACTCTGGAAGAGACGCAGCAGGAAACTCGTTCAGCTGTACAGTGCGGGCTCCCATTGCCCAGATGCGGTTCAACACTGGGTCCGAGCAGTTGAAAGACCCGGGGAGCTCAGACAGGGGAGTGTCGTCTACAGTCGGCGTAAAGCCAACCATGGTAAGCTCCAGCTCTCCGGCACTCGAAAGATTCAACTTCTGGTATCGCAGCGCACCCTGGATCAGACGGTTCGTGTAGGTCTTTTCCTCTGTGATGTTGTAGCGGTTGATGCGATAGGTGTCCATGGCCGCAGCCAGCGGGAGGGGGCCATCAGCCTGATTCTAATCAGTACCTTTCTGGAGAGAAGTCGAAGGTGTACTGACCATATAAGTATCCAACAAGGCACGGGTCTCGCTATAGCTCATCTCGAACACAGACGTATTTCCGGATCTTCGGGCAACCTGAAACGTTCCATAGCCCTCGACATCCCTTCCGTAGTCCAGGACAATGATGGCCGGGGTAGTGCCGTTGGAGGACAGGGTGAATGTCGTACCATTACACACTGCCTGAGATGCTCCGTGGTCGCTGTAGGTGAGAGGGACATATAAAGGACCAGTGCCGGCTAGTCCTAGGCCAGCGTGCAACAGGCCAAGGGCAATGTAGTGCGTGATACCCATGTTATCCAGCAAAGGTAGCCAGCAGGAGCGATATTTTGCAATTGATCTTCGCCATAGCCGAGATGACGAGCTTTATAAGGCTCTCCTCGTCCTTCGACAGGGATTCTCCACAATTTGAAGTTTCCTACATCGTTGTCTGCCAGCAGGAGAATACGAATAAACGGTTCAAGTATATGGTTTTGCAATACGAAAATACGAATGCGACCGAGGAAACGAAGAGATTGACTTTTGCAGTGGATCTGGCTGGAAAGGGAGAAAGGTGGACTTCTTGTCTCCACTGTGGCAACTGGCAAGTTACCTTCAATGCTTACTTTGTATAACATTGATGCAGTGAGTTTTGTTCCATCCGGTCTCTCAAGCCCAGGCAGTACAAGGGATGGAGAGTTTTGGTCGTATCCATTGGCAAAGGAAGAGTCTACAGTTAAGTTATGAAGCTCACACAGAGGTTAGATGTAAGACCCCAGTTCAACAGCATGTGTCTAGCCTCGTGCTCTACCTCATCTCACAATGGCGTAACTCGATCCTTTGCGTAGATCAGATGCTCGCCTGGATGGGGCCAGGTGCGAAGGCCATTGCCCGTGCTCATGTGGACATGGCAATGCTGTTGATATTAGCCACATTCAATGAGCAATGCAGAAGTGATCCACTTACCCCAACCTCATGTGGTCTCCATCCCACACCCAGACAGTTGCTGTTGGGTGCGCAGTCCTTCTCCAGGCACTCCAGAAGCGACAAGCGGTGGTAGACTTGCACCTCCCGTCCCATGCCAGTCCGCACGAAGCATCGCTTCTGGAACTCCACCCCGGCGAGGGTGAAGGTATCCTGCCCGCAGACGCCGTTGCACATGTTCTGCCAGCTGTTGTCCTGGCACTTGGGGTCTTGAGCTGCGGCCGTGTCGACAGGCTTCTTCGACTGCTCCTTGTCCTGGCAGGCCTTGAGAAGCTGCTGCAGTCCTGACTTGTCCTTCTCGCACTGCTCGCGATCTTTCTGCGCTGCTGTCGCCGCCTATTTGCGCAGCTCATCCTTCTCCTTCTCACACTGCGTCTTGGACTCTGCAACAGCGGCATCCTTCTGCTTCTGGCACTCGCGCAGAGCCTCTGCCCCCTCCTCTCGGAGCTTATCCTTCTCGGCATCAACCAGATCCTGGCAGTCCCTTCCCCGATCCGGTTCCTCCGGCTCATCGGTCGTCTTCTCGAGAATGAGGAACCCGGAGCTGCCGCTGTACCGCGTGTACCCTTTGCTCGCGAGCAAGTAGCATTGGGACTGGGTGCTCGTCCACGAGCCGGCCTGCGAAGAGGGCTTCACCTTCGACGGCACCAACTACATCTCCACCACGCACCACCCCACGTGCCCGGACGACGCCACCACCTTTGACGGCGAGGACTGCCCCTCGGGCCACTTCCCCAGCTGCCCGGAGGACACCACCTTCGACGGCACCCGCTGCGTCTCGACCAGCACCCCGTCCTGCCCCTCCGGCGCCGTCCCCAACGGCGCCGGCGACTGCGTCACCAGCGTCCCCACCTGTCTCAAGGGCACCGTCTTCGACGGCAAGCAGTGCGTCAGCCCCAAGGACCCAGAGTGCCCGCCCGACCACAAGTAGACAAACGGGCGCTGCCTCAGCCTCGTCAGCCTGGACTGCGAGCCGGGCTACACCCTGCTAAACGGGGAGTGCATCTCCGACCGCAAGCCCGAGTGCCCGGCCGACACGCACTTCGACGGCGCGAACTGCGTGGGGTCCGTGCCCGCGTGCGACGAGGGGCTGGCGTTCGACGGCGAGGAGTGCGCGTCCCCGGAGGAGCCGACCTGCCCGCCGGGGATGCGGTTCAACGGGAAGAAGTGCGTGGCGGAGAAGGAGCCCGTCTGTCAGCCGGGCACGGTCTTCAGCAAGAAGGCCAGGGAGTGTGTTGCCATCGAGCCCCCGGTGTGTGCCCCCGGCCAGGTCTTCAACGGCAAGCAGTGTGCCCTGGCGTCGGGCGATTGCGTGAACTTTGAGTATTGTCCTCCGACGGGGGTTCCCGAGTGCTCGGTTGGTCTAGTGTTTGATAAGCATACGGGCATGTGTGCGGATTGGTAGATAGCACAATCATCTAATAACGCTTTGCTACTGTTATAATGAGTATGTATTCAGTGAAAGTCAACATATTTTATGGCTAGATTCGCTGTAATCATGTAGCTGATAATTAGACCCTGATTGCTCATTTCTTATATATAAACCCTATTTCTAACTTACAATAGTACTGTGGTTTCTAGTTATAAGCCTTGACTACTCTTAAGATTTAAGCTGCTATAGTATCAGTAGAAGCAGGCAATCATGACATATAGGAACCCATTCTCCTAGGATGTAAGTATATGATCACCCAGCTGGCAAGTTAGGATACGCCTCATAGCATCACCTCAAAGCCGTCATCTCATTCAAAATTAGACACATCCTAGAAACCGAGAGTATATCTGTTGACTGTTGTCTATCTACATGTAGAGACATCTGCCCTGATAGACCGCTGACCGCGTATGTTGCCAGTATCGTCCCCCGTCGTCTCTCTAGACTATAACACAAGCCCTTCTGACATCTCCAGGACGCAGGAGTCCACTCGGCTCTGAAGGCGCTTATTTGTGGACCTATGACATGGGCCATTAGCCTTGCATCGAGTCTCTTTCACCAGTAGCACTGTCACTGACCTTGAATGATTTGTAGTTCTGCGGCACTCGGAGGTACCAATTAGCATGGGCGCACGAGCTACCGGTAAAGGTCTGAGTGGTCGAGTCGCCGGTGCAGTCCTCGCCGTTGTACAGCACAGCCGCCCAGCCATGCAACGGTCCACTGACGGAGAGAAGGTCACTCTTGTTGTCGATGTTGGTACATCCCCATCCCTTGCTATTACTGAATGAAGCTGGAGAATCGCCTACAGCCCTCGTCGGTGTAGAAGGCAAGAGTCCAGCTGCCTAGAGCAGCGCTGGCGAAAAAGGGGAGGAGAGCAAGGGCGCGCATGGTGCAGGGTGAAGTGAAGATGAATTGGTTGGGGATGAAAAGACTCAAGACCAGTAATGGGTTCTGGGGGTTTTATATCTGTGAAGACCGCAATGTATCTTGTGTCCTTAAATGCACATGCCTACGGAGCTCTCTACTTCTGAGTTCTGACTTCTGAGGTCAACCAGATACGTAATATTAAGTCATCCCTTCTGGGTGATGAACCCTCACGGAGTCTATTCCACTGGGATTAACTGGATAGAGGGAATGATTTCATATATGCATTAGTCTGCGGTGGGTATTTGAGGTATTGCTGAGATCCTTAGCTTGGTGCAGCAGATCAAGACCCATGCCGCCCCATGATGATCAATGGCCCCGGATGTCCTCATCCAACCATGAACCAAGATGAAGTAAGGCATACTCTTAATCTCCAAATGAGGCACTTTTTATTCCAAATCAATAGACATGATCCCATTGAAAGCCGACTGGTAGTCACTTGATAGACTATGTGGTGCGGTGAACAATAGTCATGTGATCCAGCCTTACCCTAACTGTTGACGCTGATGTCTCCATTCAATGAGCTATTATAGCATATTCGGATTTCTAGATATACTCACTTAGTGTGTTCAATCTGGAGTCTTGATATAATATGGAACACAGGTTCTTCCAATAACTCTATAAGAAAAACAGCCCCAGCAGTTATCAAAAACAGAGCACTACGCTGAAGCTATGTACATGGTGATTCTCAAATATAGTACTAGGCATATCATGGCATGTTTTAATGTATTCATGAAGCTAGACTTATATGAGTCGAAACCCAAGTCAGACCATAGAACACGCGTAGCATATGGTATGATGCGTGCGGCCTCCAATGTGCCAGGCCATTCAAGCTTCTCCCACATTCCATATTGAAAGTATTTTAGCAAGTGGGCATAGTTCTTGGAAACCTGCTATTAATCATCACGATTCTCACTTTGCTGGTTTCCCGTCACGCAGGGGCATAGCCCACCCTTCCCATTTCTGTCCGAACTATCTTTCGCAGCTCATCTAGACCCAGTTCCAGAATATCCTGCGGCCTGGAACCAGGTCTTACTGACCTGCCAAAAAACCTCCGCCGTGTCAGTCGGCGTTCCTTGCTATGCAACAAGAGTTGTCGCGGCGCAGACAGTCCGTGAAGTCAGGATCTCCAGGCTCCGACTTTCGGCCGTCTTTGGACTGGATTATTATACACTGGGGAAACAGGGCCAGTGAGAAGGTCGTGAAACCCCTGCCACAACTTCTTGTCCTCAGTTCCAGAGCCAAGGATGTCTCGGGCCAAACTTCTATCCGGCGTGTGGTAGTATAGAAATACAATACCACTAGGCTAAAAAGGTGTCCGGACGATGTCCTCGTCAGTCTAGGGTTTCATATCCATAATCATAGTGGTATCTTATCCCAACAGGTAGCCACCCAAGGAATGCTTCCAAGTAGTGCGGAGGTACTTGAAATCCGTTTCCAACATCATAACCATTCATTCTTGCCTTTGATAGTATCAGCTCGCTCAGTAGTTTTGACCTCCGGAGGCTGCCCAGCCAGTCGGCGGGACTTTCGAGGGGAGGGCCATGCTCGGAGGTGCCCTAGTCTTCCTCCTAACGATCTGGACCGACACCAACGGTCAGGACACAACCGTAGTGTAGATTTGTGGGGATCACGTAGGCCTGCTAAGCTTTGAGGCGTATTGCAAACCCTGCTCAGAGTCAGATACTCGTATCAAAAACAACCCGATTGGCCCTATAGAACGTGATGATAAAGTCTGTCGGCCGTAGGTTCCCCCGTCGATGCCGAGGTTTGTTAGGTGTAGCCTGACTGTGCCAAACCGGTCGAGGGTCAGGTAGACCAGCCGACAGAGTAAGGGGTCCGGGTGATCACCTTTGAAGGTCCCCACCGGGACCCCTTCGCGGCTATGATTCTTGGCCTTGTCGCTCATATCGTTGACCGTCAACTGGGTGATATCTGTGACATGTTGGGGCTGTTGCGTCTGCAGGTGATTGTGGGGTTGGGGCGGGTGCTGGATTTGATTCTCACTGGGCGCGGGGTCAGTGCGGATGAGGCGATGTATTGGTTCAACCGGTTTAGTCGACAGGACGGGGTGTCTGTCAAAGGCAAGGGACGATCGCATCTTCGGCACAGGTCTCTGGGAAATTCCACTTCCTTCCTGGATGGGGCTCACAGCCTTGCGTTTGCCATAGTTACTAGTCTCCTCAATCGCGGTGATTGCGTGAGTATCTTCTGCTGGTCCTTCACTGGAATGGACGGACCAAGAAGCAGATGGAGGTCGGAAGTTGGAACTAGTCAAAGGTCGTCCCATAGCATCTGTCGGGGGTCTGTTAAAGAACGAGGAACCGCTGTGGTAGGTTGGAGACATTGTGTCCTCAGTGAGTCTGTTGATAGGATTCAATACCTGATCTCAGCTAGGACGCGCAGCATATGGTATGCTATGGATAGCCCAGAGCGTCAAAAACAATCATAATCATCATAAGGGTGCAGGGAATGGCCGTAAGCACTCTTGAGTCCAGACTGAGGGACACGAAACCCCCAAAAGAAGAAAACACCGACCTCAGGGCCAAAAAAACAAAAAAACAAGCTAAACTATCTATATAAAAAAAAAAAAAAAAAAAAAAAAATTCAAACAAGGCCCCTTGCCTCCCCCCCCTTCCCCCCCCGCCCCCCCCCCACCGGCCACCCCCCCCCCACCCCACGACCCCAGTTCCTTCTATCTTACCCACCATCCCTCCCCTACACCCCCTTCCACCCACCCCGCCCGCTGTACACAATCACACATGCACAATACGCCAGCGCAATCTTCTCGCAGG